TGGTCAACTTTAGTTTCTCGTCAATTTGTCTTCTTCTTACAAGACAATCCAGAAAGTTTAGAGTTCCCTCATCTAATTCAGCTTCGTTTGTAAACTTTATATAATTTGAAAATGAGTTAATCCGTTGAAGAAAGTGTGTCATCTACATATCTGTAGCATATTCTAGGATAACAAGTAAAACTTGTCAGTGCTTTTCTTTGTAGATCTTTCATGCAAAGATTTGCTAAAGTTGAAGATGCCGGTGATCCCATTGCAACTCCATTTGTCTGACAGTACAGCTTGTCTTTAAAGCTGAAATAAGTAAATTCTAAGCAAAGTTTTAGGCGTTTTATACTCTCGTCTATTGATAATGAATATTTAGCTCACATATCTCGATTGTTTTCAACTTCATATTTCATAATATCAAGTGAATCACGCGTAGGAATACTAGTAAATAGAGAACTCACATCAAAACTAGCCATAATTTCGTCTTCTTCAATAGTTATGTCCATTAATTTTCTTCTGAACTCCTCAATATTTTTCTTGTTAGAAGGAATATTATATTGAAGTGGTTTAAGTATTCTTGATATGTGTTTTGATAAAGTATAAGTTATTGAATAAGAGAGATATCGATGACTGGTTTAAAAGAAACATCAACTTTATGGATTTAAAGCCTTCCATGAAATCTAGCGACCTAGATTGTTTGGGGGGCTATTGAAAACCAAACCGTATTCTACAGTTTTGGTCTTACTTCTCTTCTGACCCAATAAATTGATTTTGTAGGTGCATCTCTACTCAGTGACCTTTATTAGATGATTGTTGGACGAAAGGATAAATAATTGGAACTGACTATATGAGGTAAAATACCAACCAACATATGCAAAGGAATATAAAACGTGTAGTACAAGCACGATAAAGCGTTTGGAGTTCTACAACGACTATATGCACAACCACACTGACAATCTGGTCCAAATTATTTCGAGGTGAGCAGCAGTTAGGCTAGTAGGATTTCCGTAACAGTTCTGTGTATAGTTGTGTTTGCGAAAATGAGGCATGAATATGACGAACGAGTGATTAAAGAACAAGAAGCTCAAAGAAAGTATCCTTTCGATGATTTCATCCTCAGAAGCTGAAAACAATCGCAGTTTTATACCATAAGTCACAGCATCTCAATTCACTCATCATTCACAGTGAATTTACAAAATGAAAAAAGATCTACAAAACGATAGTATGTTCCCAACTTCTTTGTACCACAGAAGACCTCATCATATGCATCGAAAAGCCGCAGATATTTCTCACAAAGAAACTAGTCCAACTTCTACATACACCATGAACCTAGTTCGGTTCGATTCCTTCGTTCTCTTCTCTACTTGGTTTTTCATTCCCTTCATTTCTTCACATCTTCACTTATAAAAAAAACACGATTATTTCATTTTGTTTGTATGCACATCCCACTCAGTACATGTCTTCGTTGCAAACTACCTTACATATTGCGCAACTATTTTCTAATCTGGTGTAATTTCCCTCCTATGCACTCTGTAATCTATATTCACACCGTCAGACTTTCATAAAAAGTTGAAAACTATCATCACCTTTAGTCCCCTTCTTCATTATGTGGAATTAAACAATTGATTGTACCTATGTAGACTTAGGTATATGTAGATCCGACTGCACAAACTTTGAGGATGAAATCGCTGAAAAGACATCTTCTTCGACCTTCTCGTTCTTCTCCCACTCTCTTTAATGATCCGATAGGGGTATTTTCCACCATTCAGAAGAGTGATTAACACAGCACATGAATATAAATGCCACTCATCACTGAAAATATATAATTAATACTTACTTCTCAAATATGATTTGTCTGATGTGGACACTGCATTACTGGCTCATGTTCTAAAGTGAGGGGAGTTTACAGCCTCCAAAGTAGGTGTGACTTAGTAGAACAATCAGTTGAAAAATTCAGTCAACCTGTGCCTCTATCCCCCAAGATAGACGACTTTCGAATTCCACATCATATTTATGAGAGGACTTTCTACTTAAATTTGTTAGTGACACGGTTACTTACTAGAATCTAACTCCAATCTGTACACTGGCATTCAAATGCGTCTTCACGATCTCTAATATCTTTCAAATGCTGTGTCCAACTACGTTATATCAAGAAGGCACAAGTGGAAACTTGGGGGATTCTATCAATGGTGAAGTTGAATTTCTAAATTACGTAATGCTATCTCAGTAAGAAAATATCTTATAAGTAATGAAATTGTATCCCATTACTTCACCACAAAGCAATCGGAACACCCTATCGAATTTTCTACAGCTGTTGTATGCTCTAAGGAATGATGGGCTATATACTCACTCTTATTAGATTTCAGCATTCTCGCACGCCTATTCAACGATTGTCTACAATAATTATTTAGGCATCCACACATCGATGGAGCAGTCAGGCTACATAAGCTGATGTTTACATGCTTTTACAGGTGTCTGGATATCACCTAAGAGGATGGTTGTCCACTCATCTCTTGAGTTCAGTGTTGCATTGTAGTCGCTTTTGGCGTCTTTAAAAGGCGGGATTTCGTTTACAACTCCTGTCTATGTCAGCTGTTAAGACCTAGGCGGTCCGTCGAAAAGCTTCTAAGTCTACCGTCAACCTTTTCCCTGTAGTATGCAGCCTAATTAAATTACTGAAATTACAAATTATTACTGCAGTTTGTATGTCTGAGTTAGAAGAGTTTATAGATGGTGTAAGAAACCCAATGTTTTCGTTCAAGCTCCGTTCACTTCCAGCATCTGCAATGTCGAACCACAATCTTCAGCTTAACTTGACATGGAAAGATGAATGTGCTTATCATTCAAAGGTTCGAAAAACAGACTGTCACAAAAATCGTATCCAGTCGGCTGTATTCACTATTGACAAGTCAATATCAGGGTTAACATGTTATCTGAACAAGTGACAAGAATTCGGCCACATTATGTTCCCTAGAAAACAGCTCGATGACAGTACTGAGACAAAGTGTATTTGTAAAAACAAAGCATTATATCCCTACACACACACACACACTCTAATTACTTCCTGACTCCTCGAATTTTCTTCACAGCACTGAGATGACTGCATGTCATCTGAACATCTTGAATTAGGAAAAATCCTCATGTCCATCAAACTTCTGGAGTGACATTTTGAAAATAAACTATGTAAAGTAGGACGTTCACAAAATGGGAGAGACACCAAGTAAAGCGGTTAACTAGTTTGTTCAACACTTCTTTGCCAGATCTTTATTCGATTATATTATTGCTGAACTCTTGACGGGAACCTAATCTCTCCTTGACTCTTTCTCCTCCAATGCGCCTCACCACCCCTCTATCCCATTGTTCTTCATACTTCAGATCACGTATGTTAGAATTGCATTGCAGAAATGAAACTGCCAAAGTATCATTCATTGGTCGTGCATCATTACTCTCTAGCACTTACAAAGACTACTAAAATATCTACTCTACTATTCAGCTGTGCAACACAACTTATGATATCAAACACGTGGGTCCTTTTGAGTGAAAGTTCACCACACCACCAGTAATAATAAACTAGAATGCCGCACTTCAATGTGTAGTAAGTCCCACAACAGATAGCAAGAAACACAAACTTCCGCCATAAATCATCCAGCTCAAACAACACATCACCACCATCAGAAACATCCACAAATCTACTACTCCATTATTATTTTAGTATCTTATGAAGCGGAAAATATGCCTCTATTCTACTATATCTGACACAACTTATACGTCATCCTCAACACTAAATACAGTCTCGCATTCATTCATTCACTCACACAAGCACAACTATGTCATTCTGGAAACAGCAGCTCCTGCTGTGTCTGAATTAGGACTGAGTGAAGAAAGGGGTCTCACTACTTATCTATGAAAATAGAATAGAAAATCTACACCTATCACTTCGTAGACACTTTATTCTATCTCAGAAACAAGGGTTTGATAATTCTACTACACGTTACAGGCCATCAACATAATAATAATAATGATAATAATAACATCGAATAAACTACTGTCGAAGTTTAAAATCTCACACTAGTTGGTCAACGAACATAACTCACAATCAGTTTCTCCAACGAATACTCCACACAGATATTTACTATCTGTGTTTTCACATCCTACTAGGCCCACAATCCAGGACGCCTCAGAGCTATAGTAATAAAATATAGCAGGACAAGCACTACCACTCGGTACCGAATTCCACCATCAAACTCCCAAGAACTCATATCATCACACTAAAGCCAACTTTCACAGTCTGACTAGTCAAACAACAGGCTCTGTCCCACTTCCTAATGAAGAAATACAAAACATATCAAATTGGTTAACTCTACTTGACTGCTATCTGAAGTTCGATAACTCGAAGTACAACACTTAAACGCTGACATTAAAGACGTTAACGAATCCGAAGCATCCACTTGCGAGTCATACCTTCAGCATAAAAATCAACGACCAGCGTGCTGTAATTCCCTTTTGTGTTACCCTTCTACAACCAACATGGACCAACCTTCGAATATTCTTCACACCTACACTCACTCTCAGGATAACATCCACTCATACCTATTGACGTTACATTTACCTACCCTATTATTTTGGTAGGGAGCATACCTTAGTAGCAAGCATTTGTTTCATTATTCATAACACAAATACTATTAAGAGAGGCATTTCTGCAACCCTAACGAAATCCAACACCATATACTCAAAATTGTAATAACACAACTACCAGCATTTAACCACTGATACTCCCTCGAAAGTACGAACATCCAAAGTATCCACTTCCTACTCATACCTCCAATACAATATACACGAGTTAATTTGTAACACGCAGTAACCTATATGACTCAAAAGTGCGTTAATCCCCTAACCTATCACTATCGTATGAAACGACCAAGTAGCCTAACGCGGCAAAAGCAAACACAAACCAAGGAGAAACATTTGACAAATACAACTACTGACATACAGAAACGCGAAGAAAGAAGTCACTGTTTGACACCAATTAAAAAATTTATTCAACTAACACCTAGCAACACCAATATTGATTAATTAGGCTTCTTCGCCTTCCTCCTCTTCAAACTCGCCCTCCTCCTCAGCCGTCGCATCCTGGTATTGTTGATACTCGCTGACCAGATCATTCATGTTAGATTCGGCCTCTGTGAATTCCATCTCGTCCATACCCTCTCCTGTATACCAATGCAAGAAGGCCTTTCGACGGAACATAGCGGTAAACTGTTCACTCACACGCTTAAACAGCTCTTGGATAGCAGTACTGTTGCCTATAAAGGTGACTGACATCTTAAGACCTCTGGGAGGAATATCGCAAACAGCCGTCTTCACATTGTTCGGTATCCATTCCACAAAGTAACTAGAGTTCTTGTTCTGAACGTTGAGCATTTGCTCATCAACTTCCTTCATGGACATGCGGCCTCTGAACATAGCCGCAACTGTCAGATATCGCCCGTGACGAGGATCGCACGCCGCCATCATATTCTTGGCATCAAACATTTGCTGAGTCAGTTCTGGCACTGTCAGAGATCGGTACTGCTGACTACCACGGCTCGTCAAAGGTGCAAATCCTGGCATGAAGAAGTGCAGTCGAGGGAAAGGCACCATGTTCACAGCTAACTTACGAAGATCAGCATTCAACTGACCCGGAAATCTCAAGCACGTTGTTACTCCAGACATCGTTGCACTAACCAAGTGATTCAAGTCACCATAAGTAGGAGTCGTGAGTTTGAGTGTGCGGAAGCAAATATCATACAGAGCTTCGTTGTCAATGCAGTATGTCTCATCCGTATTTTCCACGAGTTGATGAACTGACAGGGTCGCATTGTAGGGCTCGACAACAGTATCAGACACCTGGAATACTACTTAGCACAAATAATCAACTTACCTTAGGTGAAGGCACTACGGAGAACGTGTTCATGATACGGTCAGGATACTCCTCGCGGATTTTCGAAATCAACAATGTCCCCATACCAGATCCTGTGCCTCCTCCAAGAGAATGAGTCAGTTGGAAACCTTGAAGGCAATCGCACGACTCGGCTTCCTTGCGGACCACATCGAGGACTGAGTCCACTAGTTCGGCACCTTCAGTGTAGTGCCCCTTCGCCCAATTGTTTCCTGCACCACTTTGTCCGAAAACGAAGTTATCCGGTCGGAACAATTGACCGAATGGACCTGCCCGTACACTGTCCATTGTACCCGGCTCGAGATCAACCAACACCGCTCGTGGCACATACTTCCCTCCGGTTGCTTCATTATAGTACACATTTATGCGTTCTAGCTGAAGATCGGAGTCGCCATGGTACGTCCCCGTTGGATCAATTCCATGTTCATCAGATATAACTTCCCAAAACTATAACAAAATATTCACCAACAAAACTGCTTGTCTTACTTTCGCACCGATCTGATTTCCGCACTGACCGGCTTGAATGTGAACTATTTCGCGCATCCTGACAAGACACTAGCAACAACAATAACAGAACTCAATACAAATAGCGAGCCAAGACTTTGAAACCGAACCGGTGCAGTAGCGTATATATATCTACGAGCCACTAGTAGTCATGGTTACTTCAAACGAACAATTCCATCAATTCAAATAAAATTGATGCCTCCTGTTTCTAAATAATTATAAGTCCAAAATGTTAATTGGTGATATACTTTTCACACTTTCACTGCAAATGGAGCCCTTCGTGGAGCTTTCTACCGGCATTTGATTTTGATATATTGGTTTGATGTCACATCATATCTCGAGAAGATTGATGCTCACTTTCGCCTCTCTTTTATCACTCCAGTGAATCGGGGAAATTTCAGCAATCTTCTTTCTTACTTCATTGCGTTTTCATGAGAGGCATATCACAGTTTAAGGTAGGCTGAAGATAAGGCTTATATAATACCTGTGTATTTACTTCAACGTTTATCATTTTACATCACATGGACATGTACTTTCCAGGGTTCAGTTTTAAAATTATTTCATCCCCTGCCGCTTTGCTCGAGGCAACGATTTTTAAGTAAAGTAGTGGGGTTATATATCGGTGTGTGAATTCTGTAAAATAAGTTCCTCTCTAAGAATCTTGCATCTGCTTTTGGTCATAAGTTATGAAACTGGTAACATTTATCTACAGCCCGGGATTTATGGCTCACGTAGACACATTAATTTATATTAAGTCCGCCTAGACTTTGACAGAACACTTCCCTAAACATTGGACGCTAAATTCATTATACCGAATAACAAATGCACATATGCAGAACATAGTGCCCACCATAATGATTATTCAATGTACACTAGCTATGTTGAAAGCATACTCAAAAAGAATGCTATTAGACTTGCTCAACCAAACGCCAGGTCACGAGTAGGCACTAGTGAGCGAAGACCTAATAAAGAGTCGCGATCACAGCATATAGAGATGTCTAAGGAAAAGCAACGTTAAGTATGAAAACATGTCATTCAAATATCCAAGAATGAAGGCGAACGCCTACATGTGAGGTGATTCGCTAGTAAGTAGTTTACATTCAACGGCACCTACAGAAGCCTGGAGGTGAAATCAATAAATCGAACTGAATCAACTTCACATTAACCAAATAGACGTCTAGCCCGTCTGTGGGCGTTCTAAGTGTTTTAAGTTTTGTTTCGACAAGTACACATTCGACCGGGCTCGGGCGCCATTTGGTTCTCCTCTCTCGTGGTACTGACACTCACATACCCAGGGTCTGTGGATCAGCCCTATTAGCCGCAGAATCTCTAAGATCCTCCCAAATTTTCATTTGATTCTAACATGCTGCTAATCAGAGCACATTCTTAAATATCTGAGTCTTTTTGATTTGCGTTTCCTCGTCAGCACGTACAAATCAGGTAGTATATTGATTGCTCGGGTAGTTGAGAATATTACGTTTAGTAGGGTTGGTATAGTTTAGCTAATTAATGGTGTAGCCAGCACCTCATAAATCTGTGTAAGGTCGACGTCTTCGCACCCACGCGAGAAACTGAACAAAATGTTAGCAGAGCAAGAGTCAGGAGCGTAAGCCACTGTTCAGAGCCAACCAGTCATTTTCGTTGAGATCGAATCTAAACTCACAATTAAATCTCGGACCATCGAAAGTCATATGGCCGCCGTAGACACTGGAGTGGCTTGCTTCTGTGGCCACTACTTAATCTGCCAGCCAGCGTGCGTCGCTCTTCCTCGCCTAGTGATGTCGGGCTCTCAGATGTTTATGGCGACTGGCGTATCAGTCGCATCGTACATCCTCACATTCTTTCGGGCAAGCCGAAAGCGCTAATGAAACAGTTAGAGTTAGATGTGAGCAGAATGGTCTTAGGGAAAGGAGTCGGTCGGTAGGCACTGTTGTGACAGCCGAAAGTCAAGTATTCTTGTTTGGATGGAGAACTGGATTCTTCTGCATAGATTGCCGAACATCGGTTTTTTCACTCAAAGTCAGAAACGATATTCCGAACATGTTAAAAAAGGATTTGAAACGACAGGACCCTCAGTAAGATTAGAAAATTATAAGTTATATCAAGAATGCAAACAATCATCAATTGAAGAAATGTGGAGATGAAACACTTGCGAATCACCGAGAATATTCTCAGCCAAAGGAGATCAAAATTTTGCTCCAGATAATCTGATGGAACAGAGCAGCTTTCCTGCAGACAGTTCAATAGTAGGAAGAAACACATATTAAAGTCTTCTCGCATCTGTCTATGAAAGCACAACAAAGATGCTACTCATCCGAAAACTTACTCAGTCTAAGGTGCATGTTACAAAATACTAACTGGGACTTATTCCATGAAAGTTCATTAGATGACACAATCGTCAATATAACGGATTATCTCAAGTTTTGCCTTGATATATGTTGTCCCAAACAAACTCTATTCAAACGTCTCGACCGCTTCTCATCTCCTTATCTCAAACAACTTCGCAGGAAAAAAGAAACTTTGTACAAATCCAAAGACAAGTTAGGACTCAAACAGATTAATGCTCAGATCAAATCTGAAATCAAAAATCTTAATGCTATATATAATGATACACTTTTATCATGTAAATCTCCAATCAGTATGTGGAAACTTTTTAATGAAATTACTGGTAATAGTAAGCGTTGTAATACTTTTCCCTCTTATGATGTTAATGCTCTTAATCAGTCTTTTATACGCTGTCCTTCTACTTTAACTACCTCTAATGTTACCTATCATGTTGCTGAAAACTTTCATGACTTTAATACTCTCGATGTTCTAAAATGTCTTAAAACACTCAAGCCCTCACGTAGCCTAGGTCCTGATGGTATACCTGCCTATGTTCTAAAACAATGTGCAGATGTGTTGTGTTCTCCACTAACCAACATCCTAAATGCCTCTTTCTCCAAAAATATCGTACCTGATGCATGGAAAGACATCAAAATTGTCCCTGTCCCTAAACCTGGAAATGGCAAGAACGTAAAGTTCAGACCCATTGCCATCACTTCCCCGTTTCTAAAGGTTATGGAAAAACTAATACTTCTTAAACTCGAACCCTCCCTTAAAAACTTCGAAGACCCAAAACAATTTGCCTATAGACAGGGTAGGAGTACATTAGACGCTGCAGCTGTCTTACACAACAACATCGTCTCATCATTAGATAAAGGTGCTAAATACGTCCGCTGCACGTTTCTTGACTTCACTTCTGCTTTCGACTCTGTTCCTAGATGTCTCCTTCTAAATAAACTCTCTTTGACGAAAACTGAGTCCTGGGTCACTAACTGGTTGCATTCCTACTTCTCTAACAGAAAGCAGTACACCGTATACAAAGGTAAATCATCCTCTGCTGCACTCACTGAAGCCGGAGTCCCCCCAAGGCGCTGTACTCTCCCCACTTCTCTTTTCCTTCTTTCTACATGACTTACCATCTTTAAATGACATTAATTTTGTCAAATACGCTGATGATCTGTCTGTATCTTTGCCTATCAAATGTCAAAGCGACTGCTCTAAACTTAATGGCTTTCTGTCAGAAATCAACCAGTGGTCCAAGGAAAATGGTCTTACTCTAAACCCTTCCAAATGCCAAACAGTCAATTTCACCTTTAGGCATAAATCCGACCTAAACAAACTGTTTGGCTCTCACGAGGTATGCAAAATAGACGGCACTGAAATAGAAACTAAATCGGAAATTAAATACCTAGGTGTCATTCTATCTGCTGATCTCTCCTGGTCGTCTCATATCTTAGCTATTTCTAAGAAAATATTCCGTCTTGCCTTCTACATTAAGAAGTTAAAACATTCTGGTATTACCCAACCCCTACTCCTACAATTCGTTAATTCTCGCATCCTGCCTATTATTCTCTATTGTTCCCCCTTAGTTTTTCCTGGGCTACTGAAGAAAGACTACAACATATTACGCAGGATGTTAAATGTTGTCAGCAGAGTAAGCAACGTGCCACTTAACCAGCTTGTTAATATTTTGGTTGACAGGCACATGGACTCATGTGAAAAATGGGCCAAGTCCATTTTATCTAACTCACACCACCCTCTTCACTCACAACTCTCCCCTTGCATCTCATCAGGTAAAACCAGAAGCCAATATAGAAAACTATATGCTCGCACCAGCAAGTACAAAAACTCAACCATACCCTACTTAGCTCGTGTTCTGTGTGATAAAGAAAGCATTAGGCGTGACACCTATAATTCATTAAATAGTCATTAGTACAACTGGATCTCATCTTTCCGACCCAATTCATCAATAGGTACAACATTTTCTTTCTTTCTGTTCCTTTTCTCTCTCTTCTTTTTCCGTTATGTGCTGCTTTGTCCCTTTCTCCCGCTTACGCCAGTTAATAAGACAGCTCCCACTTTTCTAACACCTTCAAACACTGTTTCAGCTTTACCTTTGCTACTGAACATGCCAATGTATTGTTGTAATAATGAACTGTGGTTTCCTCAATCTATGTAGAATTCTATTTATTGACAATGTACTAACTGGATGCAATACTGTAGTAAAAATGCTGAGAATTCCATTCTGTATCACAAGTACTGTTTTGGAATAAAGCAAATTATTATTATTATTATTCATCGGAATAATTACGGAAATTGCTGGCCAACAATTGGGAGTACTGTAGAATAATATATATATTTCCTATCTATGTAGGACACACCAGTTGTACAGGCATGGATAAGTATTATTTCAATTACATGGATTTGATTTTTAGTGAAATTACATGGTTGCTGTCCTCTCTGACATCAGTTAGTGAGTACAATCTGATAGTTAGTCGTTCAATGGAGCACATAAAGAAATATAGAAATATTGTCTTCGCATTAACAAAAAACCCAAGTATGTGTCGGATAAATTACGAATATTTGGGAAAAAATAAAGCTTGAAGTCAATTCCTCCA